TGATCTTTTTAGTACCAGCTTATACTTCCACGCTTGCTGCGCCCAGTGGCCATGTCGGCGTTCCATTGAAGCCGACCATAGGGTTGCTGGATTATTCCAGGTCGTCAAGGTGAAGGCCCAGCTCCTTGTAACATCTGATGTACATGATGTCACAAGAGTTGCCTTGATCTATCCTGATGCGTTTCACTTGGCATTCCCCAACCTGGAGGGATACTACCAAGGCATCATTATGCGGATATTGGACCAACTCCAGGTCGGCTTCAGTGAAAGTTATCATCGGCCCTTGGCATTCTTCAGGCCGAGGTCTTTTGTTTCCGACCTGGTTCATGTGTTGTAGGTGTTTTACTCTTTGGGTTTCTCCCCGAATGTCGCTTTCGTTCACCTTTGAGTGAATTACATTAACCACCCGTGGTCCTCCTGCCTGTGGTTGTTGTGCTGGGGGAGGCGGAGCTGCAGGTGCTTGAGGCAATCTTGCTTGTTCTTCTCTTGTCCTGGCCTCATCAATAAGGTCCCTGAGATGGCCTTGCCTTACAAAGTCTTCTAAGTGTGCTTTTAGGGCTCTGCAACCCTGAGTTGGGGGCCCTTCTTCATTGTGGTAAGCACAACGCCTACCAACGTTTCTTCCCATGAATTCCCCTGGTGCTCTTGCTGGAGTTCTGAAATAGGGTTGGTTTCGTATTTAATCTAAGACTTTATGGATAGGGATTCGGAACACTGTCGTCACTGCCTGTTTACCCTTTAATTCTGTTTCTTGTTTGGTCGGCCCGTTGGTACCTCGGCCTCGCTTCGGCGAGCCGTTTCCCTTCTCCTGTTTTATCTCTTTGTTTCCCGACGTATCTTCCTCGGCTCTGGCGTATTTCTCGATTCTCGCCATGAGTTCCTCCATGCTTTTTGGCAATGTTTTTGCCAGAGACTTCCGCAGTGGGCAGTCATCTTTCAGACCATTCTTGAAAGACACGACCGCCACTTCTTGGTTGCATTCAGGTATTCGATTGAACACCTCGTAGTACCTCTTCGCGTAGGCCCTAAGGCCTTCTTCCTTGGTGATTCTTAAAGCCATCAGGGCGTCGACCCTCAAGGGCTGTAATTTGTTCGTTACAAACCTGGCCACAAACATCTCGGCCAGGCCTTCCCACGTCTTTACGCTTCCCTTTGGTAGTTTATGGAACCAATCGGATGCAATTTCCCCAAAGGATGAGGGAAATACTTTGCAGAGCAATGGCTCGTTCCCACTATATAATGCCATTGAATTCAGGTATAGTCCAACATGAAAGTTGGGATCTGACTTACCATCATAAATTTGGAACCTTGGCATACTGAATCTCTTTGGTGCTTCAAATTTGTCCAGTTCCACCGAGAACGGTGTTCTCGGCTTAGTTGGGGATGTCACCTCGGCTTCAACATTCTGCTGCCTCCTTTTGAGGTAATCCCTCAAGTCTTCTTTACTCCTACCTGGAGCTCGGCTATCTCTGGACTTCAATCTTTTTGGCACACTACTTTCGGCCTCATGGTGGGCCCGTTTCGATCTTTCTCCATGGGTTGTGTCAAAGTAGAGTGCTTGCCCTTGAATATGCTGATGTTCTTTGGGCCTTGGATCCTTCATGCGATGTGCCCTTTGGGACTCCTCTTGCCTCGGCTCCTCTCGTCCGACTTCCCTGGAAGGTCGGTGAGAGTGCCTTCCACTCCTGGTGTGCTGAGGGGTTTCGGGGATTGCTTTCCTTCCTCCCTTCTGGGTGTTAGTTGCCGGCATCGGTGTATCTTGCAGCGGGTATGGTGGCTGCATAACATTGTTTTGCATCATGAAGTTGACCACTGACTGTAGGTCTGCCAACTTGTTTGCCAAGTCTTTTACTTCCTCATCTCTCCGTAGGCACCTATCCCTCCACACCTGAAGGTTATCTTCGTTATAATATTTGCCTTGGTCTGTTTGCTTCGTAGTACCGCCCTCCTGGCCGACGTCTTTTTCTCCGTGGCCCTGGTCATGGTTTTCTGTACTGTGGTTGTCTTCTTCAACGTCAAGATCAATTGGTCTGCCACTCCTAGCAGGAGTGTCGCCCCCAATGTTTTCCCTCTGTAATTTGTTCAACTGCTGGAGGAAGCAATCATTTAGGTATAGGAAAGAACAACCTTAATTTTCTTACCACACTGCCCGCCTAGTAATCAGCTGGAGAGCACCGACAGAATAGATGGTTTCAGTAACCTGTAACAGAAAGAAAAAGGCTCCGGCGGTGGCTCTTCCACCCGGGGGCACTCCGACGATCAAGTCAGTATATCTCTCAAAGATAAATCAAGTGCTAAACTTACAAGCTTGAGTATAAAACTGCGTACCTTAGACCCACGGAGGTGCCTCTTTTATAGTTTACTAAATCCAAGTCCCACTAGAAGTCTGACTTCTATGGACTCCAATTCAATGTCAACTTTGGACTCTTCAAGAGATAAATATAAACTCCCTAAGAGATTTATCCTTATCTCAGCAAAGTCTTCTCTTTACTCTAGGACTCTTGTCCTTTATCCGCTTATCTCGGATTCCGATATCTTCGGAGATCACCTCGGCCTTGCCTAAGTAACTTCGGCATAACTACCAGGACACGTGGCACCTCGGCTGACACGTCAGCATCACCATGCCACGTGTTGGTATTCAGAAAATACATAAGTATATTTTTTATCTTATTTAAGGATTGTTTGGGATGACCTAAATAAGTATATTTTTTGTCTTTTTACGAAAAGATGTGCAGAAAAGTAGAGAGATGATGTGATGGAAAAAAGATAAAAAATGTGTACTTATTTAGGATAACCAAACTTGACCTTAGAGTATGCCAAACTAGTTCTTAATTTATGCTTATGTTCTTAACTTGTTTCCATATTTTGGTAGATAATAATAATAATTATTGTTTTTTTGCCATAATTGTCACTCATGTCCAATCATTTTCGTCTGATTAAATCTTCATTTGAGAAGTGAGTTCGTTTTATAACTTTTTGACTTTTATGTGAGAAAATAATATAATGATTATGATTTTGATTGACATTTTATCTTATTGATTTTTTAGTCTATTTTGGCCCTGTTTAGTAGAGTTTTTTTTTAAAGTTAAAAGTTGATAATCATAAAGTAGAAATTAAAAATATCCTTACCTTAGTTTCCAAATAATCAGTTTTTTTTTTTTTTTTTAAAGTTTATTTAAGCTATTTCTACCTAATAAGTTATAAGTATAAGTTGGATCAAACAATCTGGCACAGATTCCCAAATCAAAACAAGCTATAATCACCCTTTGAAAACTGTAACAAATTAGAGTCACTTTATCTTTTTGTGATTATTTTAACCTTTTAATCTCTCGAACCAACATGGCAAATGAGGGCCAAATCTATCTTTTAAGGCTATTTAGCTTAGTGATAATTGGTTTGACAAAGTAATCAAAAACTATATTTAAAAGGAAGAAAAAAGAGGGTCGAAGGTTCCTTACAAATAGGGCATTATGGGACCATCCATTTTCATATGTCCGATTTGAACAGACATGAATCCAACAGGGACAACTTTCTCTTGAGTTCAAAAGCATACAACACCTAATTAACCTATGAGATGGTCTAATAACAAGCAACACAAAGTACTATGGTCTAATAACAAGCAACACAAACTAATATCAAACAGTATAAAGATTAAAAAAAACACATTATCTGTCCGACCAACCTTCCATATTTTATGGTGATATTTATCTTCCCCAATAAGAAAAGATGTATTCATATTCTTCCATAATGAGATTATTCAAATGCTTTTTTCTTTTTTTCTTTTTATTGTCTATGTAAATATAATTTTTAATCTTTTAATCTTTTTTAAATCACATTATTTCTCTATTTTTTATACATCTTTTTATAAAAAATAAAAAAACATACTTACTTAGATCATCCTAAACATCCTTTAAATTTCCATTTGTTTTTTTTTAATTTCTTCAAATTGATTTACTAATTTTTAAACTATTTAAAAATATTAAAACATCATATGATTTACTGTTTATACTAAAAAATATATATCGTGTTATTTGAAAAAAAGAATCCCTTGAAAGTACGCTTTTTTAAGTGAAAAATATGTAAGGTCAAGTTGATTACGGTATTATGGAGAATATTTGTGCATGTTTTACTAGTATTAAAAGTACATAAAATATAAAAAGGAGAATTAGTAAAACATTCTTCTTTAATTTTGTGTATTAAGAAAGATCCAATATAATTTTTTTATTAGTTAAGGTCTCTTGATGAATTTTTTTTATGATCATACCAGAAAAATTTCAAAATTTACCTGTGATTATATAAGAGAAATTTCAAAATTTCTCTATGAAATCAGATAAATCTCTTTGTGAAAATTGAAATTCTTTTGTATTGAGATCGAAATTTCTCTGAGTCGGACCGAAATTTTACTGAATCAAAATTTCATTGTGAAAATATTGAGGAATCCCAACTATTATGAAAATATTATATGTCCTTTATGTTATAAAATCTTAATTGTCATTTGGCTAGGTTTTTTTAGTTAACTTTTTTGAGTTGAGATTTTTTTAGCTTGAAACTAAAAAGTTTGTTTGAGTTATTTTTTTTTGACTTTTATAAGATAAAAAGTGAAATAATTATAATATATAAATGATATTTTTTCTTATTAATTTATTTAATATATTTTATCTTTTATATTTTTTTTAATCCCAAAAGCCTTAGCCAAACGAAGCTTGAATTACGGATTTTCTCAAAGGGAGTATTAGCAATTCCATTTGGGATTGGTTTTCACAATTCAATTTTAAAAACCTTAGCGAAACGGAACTTTAGGACTTGTTTGACAATAATTTATTTTAATAATATTTTAACCTTTATATAAAAAAAAACATACATAATAATTTATAACAACTTTTTAATCTTTATTTTTTATTATTAAAATTGAAAGTTACCAAATCAAATCAGGCGTTAACAAACTTAAAAAAAAAAATCCCAATTAATATTATTATTATATTATAAAAATAACGAGAAATTTGACTTTCGGACAACCCATAACCGGGGGAAGGGTGCTGGGAAGCACGGAAAAGAGAATCATGCGGTCAGCGAAGATTGAAGAACTGAACAGGCAAGAGAGAGAGGGAAAGGTTAAGGAGAGAGAGATGGAGAGGTCAATCTCATCGTAGGTTCCAAAGCAGTGTCTGCAAGCGAAAATGGCGGATTAACTGTTCGGTCGTCCCCGCTTTTGTCCTCTGCTCCCCATCCCATCCATTAATTTATCACTATTATACGTTCAAAATTCATTCTTGTCATTATTATTATTATCATCATTTCACAGATCGAATTCTTCTCTCTTCTTGCCACAACAACTACACGGTAATTCCACTTATCTTCTTGTTATTTCTCAATTCAATCGATTCTTCACATTCTAGGGTTTCACATTCTTTCAAGTTCTTTAATTGTGCATCTTTTGAACTTTGATCCGTTGACGCATTTCGTAAGGATATCCGATATCTATTCGTAATGCTTCTCAATAATTGTATGTAAATTGAGATTTTTTTTTTAATCTGTTTGTGAAACTTTGAAATTTTTTGTTTTGAATTTGATTTAGCAACTTGCTGTGGAAATAAAAGGGGCGGAGGCAGAGTGAGCTAAACAAATTTGGGGGCTATTGAATGAAAATAATTTGTATTTCATGTGATTTCAAAGGAATATCCATATAGAATCGGGTATGCCCCTGCTGGCCACCCCCCTCCCTCTGCCTCTAAAAATAAAAGAAGATTAATCATTGAGAACATTAATTTTTCATTACTTTTCTTTGAATTGTATATATGTTTTATGTATTTGATAAGAAATGTAAAGATATTTTTAGGAAAACGACAATTCTTAAACAAGAAACACAAATATTTATGTGGTTCATCCCGGAATAGGGCCACTTAAGGCTCGCTGTTCTGTACTTATGATGTTGGACTGGAAAATTTATGTAATTTTTCCTATCATTGCAGGTTTAACGGAGTTCTACAATGGCCCACTTTTAGGGAATGAATTGTGTCAGTTCTAAAGGAAATGCTTGTTTGTGGACTGCATACATAGGGTGTATTTGGGCAAATGATTGATGGTTGTTGAGGTACCTTTTGAGTAATGGATTCAGCTAGGAGTTGGTTTCAGAAGTTTCAGCCACGAGATCGGTTGAGATCTGCATCCAAGAACAAGGAAGGCACTTCAATGGAAAAAGAAGATTCAAATCCGTTATCAGCTGAAGAAGCCTCGAATATTACAAAGCAGAAGGCTGCAGCGGCAAAGCAGTATATAGAGAACCATTACAAGGAGCAGATGAAGAATCTGCAGGAGAGGAAGGAGCGGTATGTTACACTTTAAAAGATAATGAATAATTTGTTTGGTCATTATATTTTCATCTCTATATTTTCTTTTATTTTCTGCAGTTTTTATATGTAATTTCGGGCAGCAATTCCTGGGCGAACAAAATGGTCATAATTTGTGATGATTGTCTGTACATGTTGCCACACAATTTTGTTCATGTCAGTTTTATTTTGTTTTCCGAAAGTCTATGATGGATGGTGTGTATCAAATCCTGGAGTTCTGGTAAGCAAAAAATGACGAAGAGTTCAACATAAGGTGCATTGTTTCACATATAAAAAAATGATAATAATAAATAAATAAAGAGCTTTTAGTTTGTCAATAGGTATCTCAGTTCTCCAAAAGAGTTCATTTGTCTATTCTTTCGAAGACTTTACTGCAAACTTAAGGCATTGCTAGCGATACTTCTCCATTGCTCCTAACTTGCTTCCAACAGGGCAAAATCCTCACTAGCTGAGAAAGACGTATCTCAAAAAAAGAAAATAAAGAAAAGAGTAAATAAAAAGAGATGCAACATGTTTAGCATCCAGTCAATGAAGCAAAAATTTATTAATTGTTTTTTTCTTATCTTGAACATGAAATTTTACATTGTGAAGAACTGGCCCTGCCTCCTAACTGTGATGTCCATCTGTTGACTCTGCCCTTTAACGATACAGTCTATGTATTTTTTAAAAACATTAATAGGTAACTTCTGGGTCAGAGGATGAAGTAAATGCATTAGGGGTATTTATATGAGCATAGCGTGGGATCTATAGTATCAAATTTTAATGGCGATATATGGATTAGAAAGCGGTGTGCAGTGTATGCGTCACATGTGTAATTTATGACGTGCATGTGGATGTGTAGAGAACATTGAAGCAATATTTGAAATCTCTCTCCATGTATGGATTCAAGACTTTGACGTAGTGATATTATCCACAATGTTTATAATGTGTTGCAATTTCTCTCAGTAAAGGTTCTTATATAGCAAGAAGATCTTGGAACTGGATGGTGCTTAGAGTGCAATCAAATGTCTAAACCTACCTCCATTTTTTCTTCAAACAGGCGAAATTTACTGGAAAAGAAGTTGGCTGATGCTGATGTCTCTGAGGAAGATCAAAACAACCTACTAAAATTCTTGGAGAAGAAGGAAACTGAATACATGCGTCTTCAGAGGCATAAAATGGGTGCTGATGATTTTGAGCTTCTGACTATGATTGGAAAGGGTGCATTTGGGGAGGTATATATTTTCAGTGATCCATATGATGATTGATTTGCCCAAGTATATTGATTCTTCTCTGTTGTGGGGTTTGTAGCATTTGGTGTTATTCTACAATCTAGCTTCTCTAAGGTGTTTAAATTTCTCATTAATTTGCAGGCTGTTCTTTTTTCTGTGTAAATTATATTTCTTGATTAATTCCATAAGTTTAATCCTTCCATGGTTCCTAATTTCTCTACCTTTTCTATTACTTTCTATCAGCAAGTTCAAGAAATTAATAAATATAGAAATGTCAAGTGTATAGAAATATCTGCTTATTTATGAGTTCTGTACTGAAGGACATGCATCTATAAGCTTTGGCTGAGTTATGGTCAGGATACAATATGCATTAGGTTGAGAGTCAATTTTTTCCCACCGTGTTAGGTTGGTATGGTCAGGATTTAGGTTGATTGCTCCCCAAAGATAAATTTTGTGGGCACTTATACCACATGCCCAACACATGGCAGACCATGACACCACAGTGTTCTCACAGAACTAATTGGGGTTGTATGCCTAGCCAAAGTGGGGGGTGTACACACCACAAGTATGTATGCTCAACTTACTAGCACAGTTGCTGCTTAGACATGGGCTCCAAAATGAATTGAGTCAAAGTATGAAGAGCCCGATGCATGGCTTGTAGCTTATATGTGGCGGATCCGAGCTCACCTGCTCAGTCATGGCCTGCTTGGTAGCACCATGGTTCTGGAGCACCACAGCTAACCCAGGTCCTCCGCTCACCTGGTCTTTCATACCTCACTCTCGTAGGGAATGCTTGGGAGTGATCACCTTCTCGGCTTAGTCACTCCCGCTTTGTAGTATAGCGTGGCCCTTGGCTTGCTTATGTCTCATCCATGCACTCTCCCTTAGTTGGTCTTTTTCCTCTTTCTTTTTTTCATTATATTTTTTAGCACTTAGTATTTTCTAAATGATTTTTCTTTATGTACGTACAGTAATTTTGTTCATTAGTTACTTGGTTTATTTGCTAGGTAGGTTTATTTGGATACTTTCTGGTGCAGGTCAGAGTTTATTGAGTATTACAACTGGTCATGTATATGCAATGAAAAAGCTTAAGAAATCTGAGATGCTTCGTAGAGGCCAGGTATGGAATTATTTGGCCTCACAGACGATAGTGTTGTTGTTTGTTCACTATATTCACTGGCAGTTGGCTTATGAATTCTTTTAGGTTGAGCATGTGAAAGCTGAAAGAAATCTGCTTGCGGAGGTGGATAGCAATTGCATTGTCAAATTATATTGTTCTTTTCAAGATGATGAGTTTCTATATCTGATAATGGAATATTTACCTGGTGGAGATATGATGACTCTCCTTATGAGGAAGGATACATTGACCGAAGACGAGGCCAGATTTTATGTTGCGGAAACAGTTTTGGCTATTGAATCAATTCATAAACATAATTACATTCATAGGTTTGTAGCTAACTGCTTTTGATGCATAAATTAATATGCATGCTCCAATGTTTCCATTCTCATTGTACTACTTTTCAGATACCCTGACCCTTTCTATGTTACATTTTTCTGTTGCAGAGATATTAAGCCTGATAACTTGTTGCTTGACAAATATGGTCACCTAAGGCTATCAGATTTTGGACTCTGTAAACCTTTAGATTGCAGCACTCTTGAAGAGAAGGATTTTTCAGGGGGGGACAGCTTTAATGGAACTTCACAAAACAGTGAACGTCCTTTAGCTCCAAAGCGCACCCAACAAGAGCAATTGCAGCATTGGCAGAAAAACAGGAGGACGCTTGTAAGTTTGTATCATTAATTGAATGCATTTTCCTTTTATTTCTTGTTTGATGATGGTGTATCTGTTATGATAATTTGAACACATTTACCTGAGTTATGTTTTCCTTTTTTTGGTCATTTGAAGGAAATAGTCTTCGATTCAATTATATCATACTGCAAATAAACAATGAATAACAAATTTAGAAAGAATGATATTTTTTTTGCACTAGAGCATTCTAATTTACAAGATTTTGGCAAAAATGGTGGCTTCCTGTAGATTTTATGTATAATATATATATAAATTTGAACTTTTGTTATTATGACATGGCAGGCTTATTCTACTGTTGGTACACCTGATTACATTGCTCCAGAAGTTCTGTTGAAGAAAGGTTATGGGATGGAATGTGATTGGTTAGTAGTTTATGCATGTCTGTTATGAGACCTTAGATTGTCCATTGGTATCAAGTTCATTTTATTGTGCAGATAACATTTTGGAAGAATGTAAATTCTGTTCATTTTATTCATGTGTTTTTAAACGGATTTATGATTGTTTCATTTTAGGTGGTCACTTGGTGCTATTATGTTTGAAATGCTCGTGGGATATCCCCCTTTTTATTCGGATGATCCTATGTCAACATGCAGAAAGGTAACTTACAAAGGCTGCTAATCAATATCTTGTGCATTCTTTTAATTTATTATAAATGCTAAGCACCAGTGACAATCGCATTTTTATTTTGTTTTACTTGCCAATTTAACTGTTGTAAACCCTCACTTCTCATGAGATTTCACTGCATGCATGAAGCTTTCTGCATGTTTCATCTTTTATTTCATACGAATTAACTCCTAAATTGTTTTCCATTTTTTTGCTAACTGAGAAAGCATGTTTCCATTGCTCAGAGTATAATGATTTGTTGTTTTGCATCCATGCTTCGGATTTTAATTGCTGCGTTTTTTTATGATTTTCTCATAAGTTTTTCTGTGGGCATCTTTTTCATTTATCCTACAGCTATAGGATAGGACACTAATTAAGTGGGCTAGTGGATTGGTTTTTCTCCTAATTTAAATGTGGACCCCAACTTGAAGATATACTCTAGGGAAGTTTCAATCTTTGATTTGTTTGTCTTGATGAAAAGTAGCATAACTATTGTGGCTCATTGGTTGTATATCCTAATTTACTGCTCAAATTTTGTTATGTGTGCATCTACATATTCTATGACTATACAGAATTAGAATCCATTATTTTAATTATTTGGTCACTTTCAGTTTTTTGGGTCTGGGTTTTATCAAGGTCGACAATACCTTGTGTCTGAATCGCCCAGTTCTATTGAATTAATCCAGCTAGGTCAAGTCTCTTAAAATTATGCTGTATACAATTGGAATTTTTATTTTTATTTGGAAAGTAAGCAGATATTATAAAATAAAAAAGATATTATACAAGGGGCATACCCTAGGCACTACAAGGGTGGAAACCATTAAGGAGATGGCCAGCCAAGATCAACAACCAACACCTTTTATCCAAAGTCACATCATAGAGAAGGGCAAAACAAAATACACCAGCATCCAATTCACAAAGCCCCACAATCAACTAGTCCCCCCATCACTAGGATATCATGGACCTAAGTCTTTAGGCATTGATTGAAAAGATTGAATCTGGCAACCTTTATTCTCATTTCAGCCACATGTTAGACTGGTTATTCTAACACCTTCAAATAGGCACAACCAAGCCCTAACATTCATTGTGATCTCTTCAATAATCGATTTAGAGGCCATATGGTTGTGCTGAAAAAGACTGGCACTCAAAGGAGGTTGGCGAATGGTCTCAAGTCCAATTCAGCTCCTTCTAGTGTCACTCAGCAAATAAAATAGCCAGATTCGTTTATGCAGATAGGAAACTGCAGATAGTCCAAATCAGCTCCTTCTAGTGTCACTTAGCTCAAGTCTAAATATCCTATTTCTTTCAGGTACTTGATCTTATATTTTTTCTCTCGCTCATGCAGATAGTAAACTGGAGAACACATCTAAAATTTCCTGAAGAAGCTAAGTTAACTCCAGAAGCAAAAGACCTTATTAGTAAATTACTGTGTAATGTCAACCAGAGGCTGGGTTCAAAAGGCGCAGATGAATTAAAGGTGTTGTATGGTGTGTCCTGTTCTATGTTCTTTTATTTCTTCTGTCAGTGAATTGCAAATAAAGTGAATTACCTGGTTGCTTCTTTTATTTCAGGTTCATCCCTGGTTTGAAGGTGTTGATTGGGATAGAATATACCAAATGGAGGCCGCATTCATTCCTGAGGTCAATGATGAGTTGGATACTCAAAACTTTGAGAAGTTTGACGAGGTAATTATTTCCCTCGATTTATGCCCTAATTCTTTTGCTGGTTTTGTGGTTTTGTGGAGGTGAAATGTGTTGAGTCAGCCTTTGTTACCCTCTATATCTTTCTTTTTGTCTTATTTTCTGCTTATTTTCGGTGTGTAGGCTGACAACCAAACTCAAACTTCATCAAAATCAGGTCCATGGAGAAAGGTAAGTGAACTGACTGCAACTGTTTGGAGCGTTTACTGAGTAGCACCATGAATTCTAAAACTGCTATTCCGAATCTCATAGATTCTTGTGTGGTGTTAGTATTTCTGTTAAACTTCAATTCATCTATGTTTTCACAAATAGCAATTCCTAGTTAGCTTGTCTTTGTTACTTAGCTAAATTTGTGAAAGAAGAGCTTCTTTTATTGTAATAGACAACAAAAGGGTTTTACTTGGCAATTAAAACTGCTGTTGGGTGCAAGTGTTAATTGAAGGTTTGAAACTTGTGTTGGACTTATTGAAGCTCTGAGCAAAGGCAATACTGGATTTATTTGCAGTTATAGCTTTGCATAAGATTGATTGGCTAAGCTGGATTTACTTAGAAAATCGATTTGGTTTTATGACTTTTAATAAGGTCAACTGAAAAAGAGCTGATCCATTTAACCAATCCCAAGTATTTGGGACTACTTCTGTTGAGTTGAGTTAATTTTGATGGTTGAAGATAGGTTTTCACATTGATAGATGCGCAATTCATATCATATGTAGTACTTTTTTGTGTGACATTTCATGGTAGAACCAACAAATATGATTCTTTGGGGAATTCTCTCTAGCTAGTTGTTTCCTAGCATGGACTAACAACTCCTCCATACTTGCATTGAACTAAGGAATCCTGAACACGCCATCTACAGGAAGTTGTTTGATTGTGAACTATGAAACATGGATACTTCAAAGTTGATGCCGTACTTGTATCGGGTACACATTTGGTATGGGTATGCCTTGGGTATGCCTGTATGCGTATTGGGTAGCTGAAATACGTAGCCAATTTTTAATTTTTTTATATAAAACTTTTGGGTATGGCTTGGGTATGTCTCAAGTATGCACTGGCCACTGGTATGGGTAGGGCAAGGCTTCAATGCAATTTAAAAAAAATTTAAGGGTACCAGATTAAATATATATAGTGCCTATTTTTAAATAAAACAAATGAAGGGTATCCCTACAAATTTTCAAATGATAGAGAACTTGTGGTTCTCTTATTACTGTCTGATTGAATCTCTGCAAATTTCCAATTTTTTTTGGTTTGTAACTGTTAATTTAATGGCGTTAAACGAGCTGAACAGACCTTGCTTTTGGCACTGAATTTTGGTTTGTGTGTTGGATCCTAAACTAATTGGGCATTAAACTCTAGTTTGTACCTTGTTTCAGTTACTTTTTTTTCTGCATTTGGTTTTCCAAATGTTAGTATATACTACCTGCTATGCACGACTACAAATTATAAGAATATATTTTTTTATGGACGTACTCTGGTCGTATCCATATCCTCTTTTTTTTTTAAAGGTTTTGTTGTATCAGCATACTCTTAATTAGTGTACCCAACATCTGTATTTGTACATGTTTCCATGCTTCATAACTTGTGAATAAATGGGCAAATGCATTCACAAATGGGATCCCTGTTCAATATCCATTCTTCATCAATTTTTTTTCATTGAGTTTTCATGCTATCGCTGTCAAGGTATTAATATCCCTATGTTACTGTTGCTGTTTTTTTCTTTCCCCTCTCCTCCATAGCTTTTCTTTTTCCTTCTCATTTGTTCTCCTTCTTGCAGATGCTCTCGTCCAAGGACATTAACTTCGTTGGGTATACATATAAGAACTTTGAAATTGTCAACGATTATCAAGTGCCTGGGATGGGTATCCCTCTCTCTCTCTCTCTCTCTCACTCTCTATAATGCATGCGCAGTTTTAGACATAGGCTTAGTGTCGTTAAATTGCTTAAATGGTTGAAAGTTGAGGAAATTCTTCAAATGACACTCTTATTGATTTTGAAAGATTTTTTATCATTCTGCCTGGTTTGTACAGTCTTTTCTTTTTCTCATATTGATATAAGGTTTTGGACAAACATTCTGGACCATCAGTATGACTCCTATTAGAAATCACTATGATAACTTAAAAATTGATAATCTTCATTCTCCATTCATTAGCTGGTGTGGCCTGTACAAATGATAATCCTAATTTGTTATTGATCTTTGCTTGTAACTGATTTACATTTTACTTCCCTTTGCAGCTGAACTGAAGAAGAAAAACACCAAACCTAAGAGGCCAACCATCAAGACACTCTTCGGTAGGCTTGAATTTCCCCCCTTTGTTGATATGCAATTGTGATCTAAACTGATATTCAAGAAGCAACATATGTGCTAGCAAATCCAACCTTTGGAGGGACAACTAGTATATATGTGTCTAAAAAAAACTTTGTCCAACCTTTATGAAGCCTGGGGGAAGTACTTGTCTCCACGATTAGAGTTTAAACATGATATTTTTTTTTTTGGTAGCAAAAACTGTCCGAATTGAATAGGTCATCCATCACCTTCTTAATATAGTTTACTGAAGGTTTGTTAAAAGAGCTTCTATGGCATCTTTGTATGCGGAACTCATTGTTTGTGGATTCCTTCCTACCCCCTAGGATAAAGTATCCAATGCTTCTAGGTTTCTGTTTGGCCATCTCTCTCTGGCATATGGGGACTGTTTGATATAGGTCACTTTCTTTGATTAGAAAAACTTTTCATAATGCTCACTTTCTTGATTATAAAATAAAATGGAATACTCTTCCTTTGAGGATCAAACTGTCTACTACAACAGTCTGATTGTTCTGAAGATAGGAAATTATAAGGAAAATTTTTTGCTTGAAATGGTCAATCTAATGTTACCAAAATACGCAAATATCCTAACGAATTATGTTTTGGAATGCACGTGTTTCGAAACATGGTAAATTTTTGTTCGAAATGGTAAATTTAATGAAAACGATCCCAAATTTTTTTTCCAATAAATTTCCCAAAGGTTTTCTTAGGAGCAAAAAAAACCGTATAATGAACTAAAAGATAAAAGTGAATGAAGTTTTCACATGACATAACGTCAAAATGGAGTCATAAATGCTCGTAGAAATGTATTATTATATGATTAATTTAGAACACAAAAAGTAAAAAGGAAAAGCATATTTTATTGGATATCTAATTGTTAAAAAAAAAAAAAAAACTCTATAAGAACCTTAAATTCTTATGTTGTAATCAAATCTATCTCTGTTGTACCATTTTTTAAAGCATGTCTTGTTACTGTTCCACATACCAGAACGATCCACGTTCCAAATAACATAGGGTCAATCCAACGACCCAAGGTTCCAGATTTTCTTTTCTTTTCTCTCCTCGACTAATCAAAAGGAGTATTATGAAACTTTTAATTTTGCATCTCTCATTTCTTGGGTTTTAACCTGTTGCAGAAGATGAGTGTGATTCATCAGATACAGCTGGTAATGAGTCGGTGCATGGGAGCTTTTTGAATCTCTTGCCTCATCAACAAGAAGATTCTGTAAAACGGAAAGGATCTGCTTGACCTTGCCGATCCCACCATACCCTCTGATGGCCAAGGTGCTAATTGACTTATTTGACTTTCAAGTTTTGCAGATTTTAGTCCTCGATTACCGTTATTGTACATGTGGATTGGTGACTTAGTTTGACAGGAAGATTGAGATGTGATTGGGAGTTTGATTTCAAAAGGCCTACAGAGAGAGCTGCTGGAGTTTGATCAAAGCCCTTCATTGTCGTTTGTTTTTGATCAGTTTTTGTTCAACACAGAGCACGTGTGGAAGTACTGATTTATTTGATATGTATTTTTTTTTTTAACATTTTATTTTGGTGAATGTAAAATGTTGTATACCAAAACAGAATCTTCCACCGATGTCAAATATAAAAAGCTTACTTGTATTATTGCTGTTATTAATATTGAAACATTTTCTTCAATACTGGTTGCATTTATATTTGGCTTTAGAATAATCTGCTTCTTATTTTTTCCAATTTACAACAATTGATTTAACAGAGAGATAGTCAAAATTTGATTATTTATTTATTTTTTTGTGGGTATTATTTGATAGTTAAAATTTGGCAGTGGCATCAAATTTAATATTTAACATTAAAGATGCTTTTTAAGGGATAAAAAATAAAATATGACAAATATTTCTTTAAAAAAATAAAGAAATAAAGAGCAAGTCAAAAAATAGAAGAGGAATCATTTGATGCTGTTTTTGAAAGCCAAATGTTGAGAAAACAATATACAAGTGACATTTGTCATGGTAGGAGGCCTGTTAGTGTCACAATCTACTGTTAGTTAAATAATCATTCTAATCCACTACCAAATTCTTTTACAAGTTATATAAGAAAGGCCTTGTAACATTAATAATGACAACTAAATTGTTTAAGTATTACTTCGAATTGTAAGCTGACAATCTTGTGCCTGTTTGGTAGAGCTTAATTACAGCTTATTTCAGCTTTCAGTTTAATTTAAACTATTTTGATGTGTTTAGTTTAGCTTATAGCTTATAGCTTATAACTTTTTGGAAGTCAGAAATCTGTTGGGAAAACAATATACAAGTGACATTTGTCATGGTAGGAGGCCTGTTAGTGTCACAATCTACTGTTAGTTAAATAATCATTCTAATCCACTACCAAATTCTTTTACAAGTTATACAAGAAAGGCCTTGTAACATTAATAATGGCAACTAAATTGTTTAGGTATTACTTCGAATTGTAAGCTGACAATCTTATAATAGTTATGTTATGAATAAAAATAAAATAAAATATTATAGAATAGGATACAAATAAAATAAATAAATAAATAAATCTCACATATGATGAGATTTCACACTACGTGAAAAATCAGGTGTGTACAGCAGACAATTTCATTCTTTATTTTAACATGGAATTGGTTTGTGTGAGATACCCAAACAGTGACTTTGAAGAAGTCTCAAACAAGCATTGCAAGTAGTTGTATTGTGAAGACAATTTATATAGGGTCATGTGGGGCAGGCCGCAACCGCACCGACACAATTTTTGCATGGGTGTATATGCAATAAAACTTTGATAAAAATATATATATATATATATATATATGTGTGTGTGTGTGTGGAATTGTTAGCAAAAATTTAGTTTAGACCTAATTGATAGTGATAGATCGATAGGTTTTAATTAATTTTAATAAACACACTTTTGTGGTTGAGTTTTATGTGTTAAACAGATTAAGGACTTCCCTAGAAATAATTAAGTAAAGAAAGATCTGAATATAAAATAATGTGTATTTATTTAATTAAACTGTCACTTGCTATCAGCTACAAGAACTTAAACAAGAACAAAGAACTAAAAATACATCAATCGATAGAAAGAAAAGAAGTAAGGTTGAAAAAAACTACTAGTTTAATCTACTTCTAAAATAACTAATTTAAAATTAATTCTAAATAACTCTTCACAAGTGTGATTGATGATTGTTAATGAGTGATTCATCTTTGTATCTCTCTTGGCCTATTTATAGGCTCAGCCATATGAAAGAAAGGGATAACCTAAACCCATGATTTCCTCAACAAACAAAAATTAATACGAAGCAGACCAAAAAGATAATGATAAAAAGTTCTAATTTTGAAATTCTAAAGAGAACTTCAATGATATGGTAAGAGAATGTTGATGATTGATTCATCTTTGTATCTCTCTTGGCCTATTTATAGGCTCAGCCACATGAAAGAAATGGATAACCTAAACCCATGATTTCCTCAACAAACAAAAATTAATAAGAAGCAGACCAAAAAAATAATGATAGAAAGTTCTAATTTTGAAATTCTAAAGAGAACTTCAATGATATGGTAAGAGAAAAATATATATATATATATATAGATACACACAACATATCACATGCGAGTCTCACTTCTTACCACATCACTAGAGCTCTTTTTAAAACTCCAAAATTAAAGCTCTTAATCTTTATTCCAAGCCAAAACTAGGAGACTATAACCAGGACTAGATCATTTGACCACGTTTCACATTTTGTCATAATTTAAAAAAATCAAAAAGTCAAAAGTCATTATCCTATTTAAGTCACATCATCTTATTAAAGTCACATCACCTCTCTACCATATTACTTCAAACTCAACCCATACTTCATAACAAGTTAAAAAATGCACTTATTTAGATTATCTCAAACCACCCTTTAGTTTCGAAAGGCTGGTGTAATGCACGAGTTATCATTATAATATATTTAAATTTTATATTTTAATAATTTTTTAAAAATTAAAATATTATTTTATAAAATTGAATAGAATAAATCATTGGATATATGATAGAATTATGTAGTATGATATGTATCATTTTTTGTTTTGTTATACGCTCAATGATGTAGACTCCAATTCTATTACCATATCAGTTTGGGTGAATTTATGAGTTTTAACATTTCTTCCGAATTTATAAAAAAAATTATGATGTGTAACTTTTCTCAACAGATAAATATAAAACAAATACTAAGATGATTCTCCAAAAAAGATTTTTCAATTAATTCTATCTAAAAAAAACTATTAAGATAATTCACTGAATTAATAAAAAAGTAAAAGAAAATACATATATATGCAAATGTCTAATTTTATTAATACACAAATCATACTCGCATAACAAATTATCAACGTTATTAATAAGTAAATCATTAAATAAATTAACAATTTTTAATGATATGAAAAATAATTTTCAGTTAACCATTTTATTAATAAATAAATCATTAAATTAATTAATAATTTTTAATGATATAAGAAATATTTTTCAATAAATAATTTTGATAATTTATTATTGCATAGGAGAATTGATTTTTTTTCCCATTAGTATTGGGTTCAATTAAAATTTATAACAAACGATAGTTGCAATTTTTAGTATTATAACAAACGATAGTTGCAATTTTTAGTATTATAGGATCGATTCATATTTTAAACAAACTTTATGTGTATTTGTAATTTATTAAAAAATAAAATATTTATATTTCATAATTGACCAAGAATATTTGTATAATTACAAAAAAAAATTGTTTCATAATTGATTAAGAATGTTTGCGTAATTATGAAAAAATCTATTGCATAATTGACCAAGAATGTTTGCATAATTACGAAAAAATCTTCCCTCAACATATAGGCTACTGAGAGGGTAATTTGTATAGCCAAATTGGGCGAGCTAGGAGGCATTGTTTCTGAATATTGGGTCGCGTTGTGAGCCAAGTTACGAGCTCAGGATAGCTTGGTGTGGGAATAATGGTTGATAGGTCGGTCGGTGAGCTTTAGTTGCGGTCAGTGGGTGAGCCGAAGTGCTATGTCAGACACATATAAGAAGCCAAGCTAGAGGTAGCCCGGCGAGAGGATTCCAAGCAATTGGTGATCATGCGGCCCGGTTAGGGTATTTGCGCTAGGTAGCTCGGCTAGGCGTAGCGAGCCAAGCAAGGTGATAACCATCTCACTTAGTTGGCAGTGAGTACGGTGTTATCAGAATATTCATTATCCTTGGGAATTTAATTCCTAGGAGGACTCTACTAAGGAGTGTAGAGTCCTACTAGGATTGTGCAAACCATCTCACTTGGTTGGTAGTGAGTAGAGTGTTATCAAGATAGACACTTTTCATTGGGAGTGTGATTCCTAGGAGGACTCTTATAAAGAGAGTTGGAATTCTACTAGCATTGTGCTAGGCAGAATCTATAAAAGCTCATAGTAGGACCTTTGTACAGGTATCACAATTCTTACTCTAGAATACACAGAGCTTATTGTTTATTGTCTACTTGCTGACTTAGGCATCGGAGCGGTTTCCAGCACACACCCGCCGGTTAGCTCATGTTTGTGTTTTCAGGTGGCAAAGCAACGTTGTTTAGAGGAGTGCAAACTTGATCAATAGGATTATATGAGAAGATTATTTCGCGCTCGTACAATTGGCGTCGTCTGTGGAAATTGCAATCACAAAGAATGAACCACTTGATTAAGTTCTCTTTCAACTGATTTCAATGACGCACAATGAAGACTTGCTATACTCTGCCATTGATGGGCAAAACCCGGATAGAGGTGGAAGACGCGAAGGCTTACCTTTTATCCCGCCCATTGTAGAGTTAGATCTCCAGCGATGGAACCCGCGGAGGGATACCCATGAAAGACGGGGCTCCAGTCATCGTCGCTCCCAAAGCCCTAAAAGGCTGAGGTGAATGTTAGATCCTCAAGTTCTAGAAAATCGGGTAAGGGAGCAAGACGAATTGATACGGAGGATGGCGGTAGACATAGTGACTATGAAGCGCCAGATAAAGGGCAAAGGGGCGACGGAAGAAGAGGTGGGCAAGAGCAGGGCGCACCTTCGCCACTCAGAAGATCGTGACAGACAAGTCACACCATTACAAGCTGAAAGTAGAAGCCTCAGGTCAGGCGATACACAATCGAGGACTTCCAGGACTTGTTCCTCCAGGTCTAAGAGAACGAGGACTGAAAGGTCTTACATAGAAGGAAGCTATCGGCCCACACATTCACACCAAACGACATCTAGGCACACGGAGTTGTCTAGGTTGGCGGACCTGAGGACAGTGCTTGAGGAAAGGGCTCGAAGGAGAGAAGACACTTAGGCTCGCGACCCCCGTAGAGTCTCCGCATTACAATGGTTGGCTCCTAGAACACATGGGAGTATCGATGTTGGAATGCCAGAGCCGCGTCTTGCCTATGAATTGGCAGATAAAGTGTTAGCAAGGTTGCAGAGCTCGCTGTTCATTTCGGCGATAAAGAATGCACCATTACCCTCCGGCTTCCACCACCCTAAATTCACTATTTATGAGGGAAAGTTGGACCCCTACATGAACTTGAGCCACTTTCGCCAGGTTATGGCGGTGTATTGACGAAACGAGGCTCTAATGTGTATCGTATTTCCTTCCAACCTTGGTGACCTGGGTCTAACATGGTT